GTGGGTGTGTCCCCAGTGGGTGTTGATGTAGGTGGGTGTGTCCTCAGTGGGTGATGTAGGCGGGTGTGTCCCCAACAGGTGATGGTGTAGGTGGGTGTGTCCTCAGTGGTGTTGATGTAGGTGTGTGTCCTCAGTTGGTGTAGGTGGATGTGTCCTCAGTGGGTGTGTCCCCAACGGATGATGGTGTAGGTGGGTGTGTTTTCAGTGGACGGTGGTGTAGGTGGGCAAATAGGTATTGTAGACACAGACATAATGACTCAGGTACAGACTGTCTCTTTACTGTTCGCCACTCTCTGCTCCTATACGTGTGGGTGGGACAGTGGCGGGAGGGTGGGGGCTACCGCATGCTATTGGGGGAGGGAGGAGACGGGGTAAAACCAAGGTAGTTCACTGGGTTGGGGAGGAGCAGTGGACCTGATGACATTCTTGAATCTGGTTATCGTGACCTGGGGCCGTACTGTAACCTCTTGTCAGGTCAAAGGAAGATGGGGGGGGGGTTGAGGAGGTAAGGGGGAGGGGAGGTGATTAAGGAGGTGCGTGATACCAGGGCGTGACGGTAGGGGGGAGAAGGGAAGGAGGGGGTAACGGGGAGACGTGAGGCAGCCACAAGCAGTTTACAATATTGATCTGGTAATATAGTGAGGTGTGTAGTGCGTTGCCGTGTAGGGCGGTAGATGGGGATTGTGGGGGTGTGGTGTACATGACATATGTAGATGGGGGTACAAAGCGGTACACCGCAGGTTATGTAACAGAGGACTGCCGCCCACTAGGGTGTCCCGGCAGTAGGGTCCGTGGGCGGGTAGCCCCTGAGCCGGACATCCTTCCTACAGAGCGTTGAGGATAACATGAGCCGACTGTACAGCGGATGTGTACAGGTGGGATGTACAGTGACGGGCGTGTCATTCTGTTTTTGTTTTGTGTCGCACTCCCTCACCGCCAGCTGGGCGTTGCCGCCGCCGCGTGGCCGGCCAGTCAGCTGTTGCTGCTCGTGCTGGTGGCAGCAGCCGGTGGGGACCCTGGTGTGAGGCGCCTCCGTGATGTGTGATGGTGTTTCTTGTGCTGAAGGCACATGATGGCCGAGCGACTTACACTGACCAATATCCTCCCATACAGGATGTTGGTGACATTACACCCGCTTGTATAATTGTAGTGAAATCGACCTTTGCACTACGCCCTGGCTTGGTGAAAACCGAGATGAGTATTGGAACAGTGAGATAGAGAACGGCACGGCGAGGGGCGGTGATGCAGTGAAGCGCGGTGGGGATCACCGGTACAGTGAGGCACGGAAAGTATAGTGATACGAAACCGGAGGCTGTGAGAAGGTGATTGGGCATCAGGAAACTCATTCGATAGTGGTTAGGCAGTAAGAGCCTCAGTCGACTGATTGGGCATCAGAAGCCTCAGTCAGCAGTGATTGGGTAGCAGGAGGAAGAGACGAACGTGATTGGACAGTAGGAAGGAGAGGAATATGGCTGACTTGGAAATAAGTGTGGGCAGAGGTAGGCTGAGGACTTGCCTTGACGAAGATGACGACGAAGAGGAGTCATCCAATCAAGGGGGCGGCCCCGGAACACTCGCACCCTGGACACGGTCAGAGGGCTCGAGGGCAGCCTTCGGACGGCTCAAGGCCAAGCTCTTCGAGACCCGGCTGGCCACCCACGTTCGCCAAGCACAACTAGCCCTCGCTGACTCTATAAAGCACGCAGGATGGGCAGTGGAACACAAGGTGGGTCACCACACACTGAGAGTCTTTAGAGCATTGAGTCATGAGAGGTCATAGGAAAATTGGGTGAGTCATAAGAGGCCATAGGAAAATTGGGTGAGTCATGTGAGGCCAAAGGACTATTTGGTGAGTGGTGATAGGTAATATGAGGATTGGTAATTCATGAGTGGTCGTAGGAGAATTAGGTGAGCCATTAGAGGTCATATGAGTATTTGGCGATTCGTAATAGGAGGATTGGTGAGTTATGAGAGGCCATAGGAGAATTGGGGGAAATATAAAGGGAGTTATGGGAGCATTATATATGGCAGTAGAGGTCAGGGGAGTATATATTAAGGGAGGTCATGGGCGTATTTATTAAGGGAGGTCATGGGAGTATTTATTAAGGGAGGTCATGGGAGTATTTATTAAGGGAGGTCAGGGGAGTATTTATTAAGGGAGGTCATGGGAGTATTTATTAAGGGAGGTCATGGGAGTATTTATTAAGGAGGTCATATTTATTAAGGGAGAGGGAGTATATATTAGAGGTCATAAATTTATTAAGGAGGTCAGGGAGTATATATTAAGGGAGGTCAGGGGAGTATTTATTAAGGGAGGTCAGGGGAGTATATATTAAGAGAGGTCATGGGAGTATTTATTAAGAGAGGTCATGGGAGTATTTATTAAGGGAGGTCAGGGGAGTATTTATTATGGGAGGTCAGGGGAGCATCAGCTGTTCATGGATAATCAGGGAAATTTTAGTTGTGGGTGGACCAGGGTGAAATAGAAAGGCACAGGGTGGGTCAACAGCTGCCAGGGAGGCACGGGTGGGTCAACAGTTACCAGGGAGGCACAGCAGTTACCAGGGAGGCACAGGGTGGGTCCAAGTGCCAGGGGAGGCACGGGTGGGTCACCAGGAGGCTTGGGTCACCCAGGGAGGCACAGGGTGGGTCAACAGTTACCAGGGAGGCACAGGGGTGGGTCAAGGCAACAGTTGCCAGGGGAGGCACAGGGTGGGTCAACAGTTGCCAGGAGGTAGGGTGGGTCAACAGTTGCCAGGGAGGCACAGGGTGGGTCAACAGTTGCCAGGAGGCACAGGGTGGGTCAACAGTTGCCAGGGAGGCACAGGGTGGGTCAACAGTTACCAGGGAGGCACAGGGTGGGTCAAGAGTTACCAGGGAGGCACAGGGTGGGTCAGCAGTTGCCAGGGAGGCACAGGGTGGGTCAACAGTTGCCAGTGAGGCACAGGGTGGGTCAACATTTGCCAGGGAGGCACAGGGTGGATCAGCAATTACCAGGGAGGCATGGGGTGGGTCAGCAATTTGCTTGGGGGAGGACAGGGGGGTCAGCAATTTGCCTGGGGAGGTCAGGGTGGTCAGCAATGTTCAGGAAAGTACAGGTTGGGTCAGCAGGGTGAGTCGATGTGTTTGGGAAGCACAGGGTAGTGCCGGGGGTGTTAGTGGAGTACAGGGTGGGTCAAAAATTGTTTAGGAAACAAAGGGTGGGTTAGGAGGTGTCAGAAAATGACAGGGTGGGTCAGGAGGTATTCATGAAACACAGGGTGGGTTAGGAGATATCAGGGAAGTACAGTCACCCACAAAAGTCCTGTCGCCTCTACTGTTCATGTACCACAAAATTCAGACTCGTGAACCCAAAACAGTATACACTGGTGCATTATTCTGTTTTTAAATGCTTCGGGTTCATGAGTCTGAATCTCCAAGTTTGTGGTTCAGGAGGAGAGGCAGCAGGACTTTTGTGGGGTGACTGTACAAGGTGGGTCAGGGAAGTACATGGTGGATGAAGAAGTGTCTGGGAGGGACAGGATGGATCGGGGAGTGTTATGGAAGGATATTGTGGGTCAGGAGTTATCATGGAAATACATGGTGGGGTCAGGTGGTGTCTGGGAGGGACAGGGTGAATCAGGAGGTATCTGGGAATTACAGGATGGTCAGGAGATGTCTGGTAAGTACAGTGTGGGTCAGGGGTGTTTGGAAAGTACAGGGTGGATCAGGAGGTGTCAAGGACATACAAGGTAGGTCAGGAGGTGTCAGGGAATTACATGGTGGGTCAGGAGGTGTCAGGGAAGGACACCAGGGTTCAGGAGGGGTTATGGAATACAGAATACAGTACATTTTGTATGTTGGAAACTTTAATTTTTTTTAAACATCTTCACTAGATCTTTTCCCAGTTGTATCAGTGGGCCAGACTGTAAGTCTGTACAGTATTCAATCTACAGTGTTGTTTTGTATTATCAGGACGTGTAAAGTACAGTACATTCTTCATTTCATCAGTTTTTATTTTCCGGACATCTTAATTGTAGCATCACCTGTGTACTGTACATCATTCAGCCTGTGTTAGTCCTTGAAGCTAGTCTCTCTGTCCCTTATTGTGGTTATTTACAGGACTGCATAGCTTGTGTGCTGCAGCATATCCTTGAGCTATTTCATAATGAGGAGAGGGTGGAGGATCCTACCTCGAAATACACTACATGTCAGGAATTTGGGCTCCTATCATTGTTATGTAAGCTGCTGTGTGCATGGTTAATGATATGAGATTTTCTCACTTTAAAACATAATCTGTGATTAATATACTTTATTTTGATGCAAATACCCAATGTGACTGTTCACAGTAACCATGCATATACTTATTCTTTGTGTTACGACTAAATGCATTTCTACATATACGAACTGAATAAAAACATTCTAAGTGGAGTTATTTTATATAATGATAAATCTGTCTAGTAACATGCAATTTCATAAATTTTTCATTCTTATGATTATTATTGTCATTATTTCAGCAATTTTCCATGCATACAGCAGTTATGGTGACTTTCCTGCCTGATGGCATGGTGACTCATTTACCATCAGGTATATATTTATTTCAGTTAATGCCCATAGGTTTTAAGTATGGTATTTATGATACACAGGATTTTGATGGTTAAAAGAAATTATTCAATGCAACCACTTATTGAAAATTTTATATAGGGAGGAGTTTATATTTTTTTATTAAATTAAAAAAATCAAAATTTCATGATTTCTTTGGTATGAAAATGGAGTGTATTCGGGTATGTGTTAATACAGTATTGCACTTGAAATCTGTGGACAACAGTCAAAAAGGTATGGTTCCACTCAAGTTATTTTTTAAGCTTAAAAACAGGTAAGTGAATATGTAAGTAAAATAATCAAGACTGTGATATTGAGGTTTTTTTATAAGAGTTCATTAACATTATTGTCAAACACTTTACTGTACCTGGTATCTTTCCTGTTCTCTCCTCTTTGCTAATCTGAGTGCTTTGTTTCAGGTGAGCGAGGTGTCCCGTCGTGGGTGGAGTGAAGCTACCCGGGCATGGGGAAGTGGTGGAGCTGGTGGTGGAACTCTAGCCCTCACAGGCAGTTCAGGGGGACCACATGAACGCTCTTCCTTGTTGCTTGGCCCAGGTGATGGATACCAGCGGCTTGACAACAACAGGTTAGTTTCACTTTTTAGTACTGTAGAAAGTTCTTTTCTTCTGCATGGACTAATCCTTCAAATAAGAAATGGTGATAAAGGAAAAATTCTTGCATATACAATACATAAAAGAATTTGATTTTTCATACTCCATGTTTAATGTTAAAAACATAAGAATATGGATTGGCAAATTCACACATTTACCTGGATCTTGTATAAAGTGACCAACTTGTATTGGCAAAATAAAAACTGACTAAGAAGACAGGATAGTGTTGTATTAAATGGTTAATGGTTATCACTAGAGTACTGTACAGTATGGGAATTACAAGTGACCTACATCATTTTGTAACACTAAAATTTTTAGGGAGTGAACTCTAAGAGGTAGTGTATTAACAAAAGTTAGAAGTAGTGCATTACAGAAGATAAATATCACATGATATGTTTGAGTCATCAACCATTTGTGGCAAATATATTTTAGCTGCTAATGTAATGCCGCTGTTTAGTCATGCTTATTACAAAACTTATGGAAATGGATATGTATATCTTGTATTGTACTTGCATAACAGTTGTTCAACTCTTGTATGACCAGTAATACTGATATGGCAGAGGTTTCCTATTTTAATTGGGTCATAGAGGCTTCAGTAAAAACTGAAGCTAAATATCAGGAGAAAATTTTTCTTTAATATATCCTTGAAATACAGACTCTTGATTCACGTCCGGTAGATTTCAAACTGCATTGAGAATTGCACCTAAAGATACCTGTTCCTGTGTGGAGTGTTTCCTATAGGATAACTGGTCCAATTTAATGTGATGGCTGGAACGATATTTACTAAAAAAAAATTCATTGTTCCTTTAAACTTTTATAATATGATATTGTATTGGTTAGTTCTTATTTCCCATAATTTGTTGCATAGAAAAATTCAGAATTAAATCTGTCTTATAATTCTTTGTCAGGAGATTGAAAATGTACTACTTCTTTTTTTTTTGCATAAATACCTAACCCAGTATTTGTCATCTCCATATCATCGTTGTTTTTGGTGCTTACTAACTGCATGGTGGCTGGATTCACTAAATGCATGACAACTGAAACTCCTGCATGACCATCCCCTCACTCAGCATCAGTGGTAACCAGGCTGCCTTAGATAGTGACAGTGGCCCACAGAATGACATCCTCCAGGACAAAGAGGATGAACCCCACTTGAGGAATGAAAATGTATCAAGAAGTAAAGATCGCCACTTAGAGTAAGAAATTTGTTCTGCATATTCACTATACTGTACTGTATATCTATTTTTCTTCTTATAGTATAATATTATCCAACACAAGGAAATGTGGCTCATGAATGGCTAATCAATTCTATTTGGTCCATTGAGATGTTGTTAGCATCAATATAGAATAGTGCTCATTGGTTCCACTAGCATTACTTGCTTTTAAGAAGACCTAAGTTTGAAGGAGTAAATTATCATAGGAATCTTTAATATGCTGTACTATTTATATTTTGGTTAATAAGTGTAAGTAGTAGTTAAGTTTATAGAAAAGAAAACTATTCAGTGTTTAACACATTAATCTATCAGTATGAAACTTAAAAGGAACTTGAGAACTGAGTACAGTATATATATGTGTGTGTGTGTGTGTGTGTGTGTGTGTATAGAAATCTTGATGTCTGGTAGGTTTTTCACCCTCAGTTTCTAGTAGGGATGGAGAAATTTTAATAATATCAAAATAAAAGAATGTTTGCTAAGAGACCAGGCTAGAGTTGTATACTGTAAATGATAGCTGTATATTGTTCTTTCATCAATGAATCATATTTGAGTTGTATTTTGATAGTGAAAGTTACAAAGGTTAACATTGAGCACTATTCATGGTTTTCATTAACCCAGTTTAATTGATCGGATCATTTTTATCATGGGTAACTAACAAGTAAATTCTCCTTTGTTCCTGGTACAACTTTAATTAAGGAGACAGACAGAAGGTTTTGGCTTTAACGTTGTAGTGTGAACTCTTGTGCTAGATTATATTAGAAAAATTTTAAAAGTAATGTTACTAAACTTTCTTGTGCATTTAATTAGAGACTCTCCACTTGGGTGTTGCACTCATAATATCTGTTGCTAATTTCTAGGGAATGTAGAGCACTGTAATTAACATTTAGTAATGAATTCACTGTTTCCAGATGTAATGATGGTTGGGGAGATGACAACTGGACAAATGACTGGGGTAGCAGCAACAACAGCAAGGCATCCTCCCCTTTACAAACAAGAATGGATTCCCCTGATCCTTCCCCAAATGCCCGTGTCTCTAAGAAGAATGCTAATAACAGCAGTAAGAAGAGTAAAGGCTCTACTAAAAAGGTACAATATAATGCATTTAGTGAGCGTATACTCAGGTCTTAAGATCAACTCCAACCCCCTTCTTAATTCTTAATTTTCATCTTCAGTACTGTACAGGTATATCGGTTATAGTCAGGAGGCAAAATATATTTTTATAAATGAAAACCATAATCTACTCAGAAATGATAATTTAGGCTTCACATTAGGAGAGTCTCTTCTCATAAAATGCCATTTAGTAGTTCCCAATATATAACCAGGATTCTTCCCTTAAGGGGCTCATGTAAACACATTCACACTTACTTCATTGCACCTATACAGCACATTAAGTAATGGGAAATGAGGATTAGGTTTCAGACAGTGCCAAAACTATCCATTAAAAACTTTTGTAAACCCCTTTTTACCATCTTCCCACCCATGCAACATGCTTATTCTTTCTCAAGATCATGAGGCGTGTTTTTATTACAGCTAAACTTAATGAGAGGTGATACTGATGATTTTTGTTGTCTGTCTTTCTTTCTTTTTTTAATTACTGTAATATTATTTTTTTATCAGGATGGAAAGGCAGAACAGGAGTTGCTGGTGGACCTTGGGAACAATGGCACCAAAGGTCATACTTGGGACAATTGGGATGATGACTGGGAAAAGGTGGATGGACAGTGATTCATACATCTTTGTAAATGATGCAGAACAAGTAACTCAATTATTTAAAATTAATAGTGTTGACTTTATAGTACGTGTTAGACTGAGTTTCATTATAGAATTGATTATTTATATATTTTTTGTAATTCATGATAAGTTAATATAATATAACCTTTAGAAAACCTTGAAACTAGGTTGAGATACATCATACAATGAGTCATTAACTTATGCCAGTGAATAAGAGAGAAACAAGATGTAAAGAATAATGAGAAAAGTATTACATTGTAAGTGGGAAAAACAAATGAGAATATAAAATGTGCCTTGAGATTTAATTAGTTGAGATACCATCAAGAGTGTGATTAAGAGGAAAAACTTGAGTACGTACTGTACATTACAAGGCACCAGTTTGCACCATTGTGAAAGTTCACTTGAGATGCTACTAATAATGTGATGAAAATTGAAAGTTTGAAGGAGTGCTAGAGAGGCAGTGGTTTGCACCACATTGTATGTTGAATTTGTAAATATTGTTCAGGTATTTTCAACTGAATTGAAAAATTTCAGCATGATCATTCCATGAGAAATGGTTGCAAACATTCAAGTGTGTGTGAAATGTGGGGGTCTTTTTGTCACCCGTATTAAATAATTTTGCACATAATTATTTTATTAAGGAAGTATTTTGCAGGAATTAGAAATGATTGGTAAAAAAAATGTGTGAATCTGGTGCAATTTACTTATTATAGTACAGGAGTTAACTATTATATATTTTGTATGAAGATTTAGTATAAAGCAAGTACTGAGAAATGTACTCTTTTGTTTTATAGTTTACAATAGTAAGTAACTGAACAGGGAGTAGAGTACAGACTAAACACCAGTACAGTTATTCAGTTAGGAAGGTTCTAAAATTATTATGATATTTAATTTAATGTTATCGTATTTTACTTACTTTCTAATTTCCATTCTCTAGAATTATAATCTCAATCTTCTTAACTTTTATATTTTTTACATCTTCACTCCTTGTTTTTTTGGTTTGTTATCGTGATGTATTTGTTCATAGATACATTTTAACATTGTCAATAATACAATTAGATTTACTTTTTTGTTATTTTCTTAAATAAAAACAAAGCACTTATGTACACCATGACCTTATGGAATGTGTGCTATAATCAAAAGCCAGCAACCCAGGTCTCATCTAACATGACAGTATGATTGCTCATTGTAGCCTCCAGTGATATAAACAGATGGTATCATCCTGTCTCCCCTGGTCCTGAACCACGGCTCTGTGCAAAATGTTGTTCCGTTATGTAACTGAATGTAATGGTTACTACAGTATAGGTAATCAATATTCCTGATGATATGAGTGAATGGTTGGGAAGTGTACCAGTGCACGAGTTCCTAGTCCTGATGACCTATGCTATATGAAAAGGTAGAGAATCATAGCTGATGTGTATGGGTATAAAAGTTTCTGACATGGCAAAGATTCAACTGTATTGTGCAGATTTTTTTTTTTTTTTTAGATTACTCAGTAAAAAATCAAGGCAGTTACATGCTGTGACAAGTGTCTGCTTCCCACTAAAGAAAAAACACCTCTACCCCAGATGTTATTTAATACAGATAGAGTATACATTGTATTTACAGTGTGTATACTCATGAAGTTTATTTTGTATCTTAAATTGTCTTAACTTTTTATGTAATATATAATGGGTCTTAGACAGTAGATATTATTTGAAATCTTTATGGAACTACATATATAAACTTTAAAGTTACCTGATACTTATTGCATACTGGTTTCATATTCACATAGTATGCAAAAGAATCACAAAAATTTGGTTCCAGATTCTTGAAGGTCTATACAGTAAATATTCCCTGTAACTGGTGATCTGATAATACATGTAGACAATTGATATAAGCTAAACCATAAACATACTGTTCAAAAATAGCATCAAAATTATCCTGAGACTCAACTAGACACAATCATTTAGCACTAGTTAGGACCAAAAAATTAGGGTAGAGAACCTTTTCCAACAGATTCTCCTCCTTAATTTTGTTAATGTATCAAGTTTTTAGAGTCTCAGTGTAATATTGGCACTATTTATGTGCTATAGCTTCTGTCAACTAATTAGCTCCTCTTTTTACATACTAGTTATGGGAAATATATACTTACAGTATATAGACCTTTGAGACACTGGACCCTGTACTTACACATAGCCCTAATATACTGTTTTTCAGTATCTTTTACAAGGATTGCAAGTATTAAATCAACTCATTTGTATAAATCGATATGCACAAAGTTCACTGAACCTGAGACATAAGTAGGAAAGTTTAGGCTTAAATCAGAGTAAAGTATCAATAATGTATCCATAACTTACTGGTAAATAAAATAATTTTTATAGGATATTTATGCTGTACTTCATTGACCATTGGATAGCTGACAACCCTTTGTTTAGGTAGAAAATGTACAGTGTGTCAAATCTCAGCAACCCATTTTTTTTGGGGGGGGGGGGCAATATTGTTATGGTTTTTAATAAACTTGCCAGGTCATGTTGCCGTTGGAGCAAAGTAGACATAAACAGTAATATATCCAGTTATCATTTGAATTATGGAACAAACGTGTATTACTGTACAGTACAGTACCGTATTTTGATTTTAAGAGTACAGTAGTGTTTACTGCCCAGAATTTTAAGTGCTGACATCATCATAATATAATTTTACTAGTACAGAATTAAGATTTTTTTTTTTTCCATTACAGTACTTTAGATACAGTACGTACTGTAATATTCTTCACCACCCATAGTTTGCTTTTCTGGAATAGTTTGCATAGAACATCTTTCTTTAGCATGTGACTATTCATAAAACAGATGAAGTAATGGATATCCTGACTAAGAAATCTTTATAATGGTATAATGGGGTGAACTTTTTTATAAGTAGTAATCATATCTGGCAATATAATTATGTATGTATTTATCTATCACCCTAACTTCATCCACATTACAGTAGCAGTGGGTTGAGAAATATTAAGGCTTTCAGCACCTTCAAGCAGATAATTTATTTGCCACTACTGTACTAGTTTTCTAACCAGTCTACTATAAGTTTTTTCTTACAGCCCATAAAGAATATGGGGGTTATTGGTAGCTTCTAGGCCTCTTTTATGATCTCAGTGGTCTGAAGTAAAATCAATACCAGATAAATTTGCACTGTACTATATCAAACAATGTCATTATAATGGAAGTTAAACAATTAAAAGAAAAACTATCCAGTTGCAGTACAAAAAAGAAAGTCAGATATTCTAAGTATGAAATTCTCCTGGTATATGGTGTGTTATTTACTGAATTGTCATTTTTTTTTATAACTATCCACAGGTGGTCCCCGGGTTATGAACGGGTTCCGTTCCTGAAGACGTTCTTAAGTCGGATTTGTACGTAAGTTGGAACACATGCTATGTGAAAACCATACTTAGAGAACAATGTTTAAAATCCCACTATACCATAGCCTAAGTCCTTACATACATCTAAAATCACTTAATTTAAGAGAAAAGAAGAAATAGAATGACAAAATACAGTAATGAAGGTAAAACATAAGTCATCAGGTAAATAAAATAATGCAAATTTCAAGTTTAACCCCGTTCGTATTGGCGGGCGTTCGTAAGTCGGGGACCTCCTGTACTTAATATACACCCATACATGCACTTGAAAAAAACACCTACTGTCATTTATATTTTATAAAACTATGAAAAAGAAATTATCAGAAAAAAAAGGTTTGTTATGTGAAAAGAATACAGTACAGTACGTACTTTATTTTGTTTCTTCAGATCCTCGCACTTTATTACCTTGAATGTAGATATTGTATTGGTATTTACACTAATTTATTAGAAATTAAGTATAGGTAGAGGATTTATACCATTTTGTGAGAATGCATATGATTTATATCAGTGTTTAAACCTGTTATTTTATTTTGTCAGAATAGAGTTGAAAATATTCAGAAAAACAGTAATAAATTTCAAGATCTAAACCATTTTATTTTTCTCTTATATCAGTACCACCCATCCCTCTTTCCTTGACCATTCACTCCACTCATCCTACTGTCACACAACCATCCCCCCCACTGCCACATATCCATCCCCCCCCCCCACTGCCATGTATCCATCCCACTGCCACGCATCCATCCCCCACTACGCATCCATCCCCCCCACGCAACCATCCCCCACTGCCATCCCCCCTACTGCCAACCATCCCCCCCCCTGCATCCCACTGCCATCCCCCCCCCACTGCCAAACCATCCCCCCCCCACTGCCACGCAACCATCCCCCCCACTACCACACTACCATCTTCCCACGACCACACAACCATCTCCGCACTGCCACACAACAATCTTCCCACGACCACACAACCATTTCCCCACTACTATACAACTGTCCCTCCACGACCACACAATCATCCTCCCACAACCACACCCCACTCTCTCCAGTACCCTCACTCCTCACTACTACACAATCCATTCTAATCTTGTTGTTAAAATGACCTGGAAGCTGCCACCATATACTGGGTGTATATTGTTATTTTTCTCCCCTGCACTGGTACAGTGTTCAGTTTTTTCTGCCTAAACATGTTGCTTCTTGTGTTCATCTAATGTTGGTTAATGTAATATCTTTCCATTTATCATTGTAATTATTCCTTCCAATGTCCTTTCATGAATGATTGAAGTTTTTTATATTATACGGTGCTTTGGACTTTATTATAGATCATAAATTAGCCAGTGCTAGATAAGGAAGCCCATTTTTTTTCACCATCTCTGCCAACTTTCAATCTCATTAATTTATATCATTGAACTGTAGTTATAAGTTTTACTTCGACAATTTTGTTTATTGGGAGAATTCAACAGATATGTATATACACTATTGCTTATTTACTATACTGTATATTTGACTACTTTTATAAGTGAAACTGGTAGAACTATTTTAGAAGAATTTTGAAAAGCTTTATGGAAGAAATGGTGATATTCATTAAGTAGGATAGAACAAGGACAGTGTGACTATACTCTGAATTGTGTTCATATGTGAATTAACCTTTAAATCTATAGTATACTGTACAAGATAGTAAAGGGGACTTCACTTCATGAAGAAAGCCTTAAACTTCCAAGCTCAAAGAGTCAGGTTGTTTTCTCATAAAGGTATGTTAAGGTTTGATCATTCTTATTATGTTTATGGACTAGTTTAAACTTCATTTATCTAGTTGTCACTTGGCTTTGTGGGAAGTGGTGTTGTAGATGTCAGCCATAGGAAAACTTTATTATGTACTATAGTTATATTCCATTATTTGGGTGGTATCCTTTCCAAAGAAAGGGAGATTGCCAATCCAAGATACTTTAGTAACAGATTCATGTAAAAAATTGTGGCAACAGTAATTAAGTTGGTCATACAAGAATACTGAACCTAATAGTTGACTGGCTATTTACACCAAACACACCAGAACAGTCCTAAATTTGGGTGCTACAGCATGTTCTGTGTGATAGGTATATATAATCCTTTGTACTTGACAGTTCAGATACATATACTATATCAATTCATTATAACAATACTTCAACACAGTAAAGTAGTTAATAGAGTTTTAGGATGACAGAATTCACAAATGTAAACTGGAGTTAACATTATGACAGAGCTAGACTATTTGTGGTTGGTGTTGTATTAATGGGTGGTAACATTTAAATAGGTCAGAAGGATAGGAAGAATGTAAAAACCAGGAATTAGCATGGAAATAATTGATAGAAATATGTTGTCATGTTACATGCCTTCTCTGTCTGCCTGTCTGTCTTATATATGCCTTACAGTATGTAATATGGAGGTTCATTAAAAAATTCCAAATACTGTACATTACTACATTTACTGAACATGACTAAGCTCTTTCATATCAAAACCTCTCGCATACACTTCCCTTGCTCTTTCCTACAGTACCTTTGATCAACCTGTGTGGTTTTAGCCATCTCTTCATTCATTATATTCTTTAAGCCTGTTTATACATCCAGTAACCAATGGTATTTCACTATTTTCTTCAGTGATCCCTCTTTTATAAGAAATATTTCTCACATTTTCAAAACTTCTTTTACATAGTTGAATCATCATGAATTACATCTTCAACCTCATCCCAAAACATTTCTTATGCTCAACACTTCTGTGCATTAATCCTTATGTGCATATTCATCAATATTTTCAGCCCTTAGGGGGTTTACAATGCCAATCTTACATCTCTCAAATCATAATCATTCCCTCTCTTACTTCATTTACAAGCATTTCCCAGTTCTACTTAGCTGAGAACTTCCCCAGCATACTGTACTTTACTCTGGTAAATGGGAATCTAGTTATTGGAATTAAAATATTTTACAGCTTCCAGTACAATTGTACTATTCTTTTTTTAACATTTTGATTGTTAAAAATTACTGTAGATAATAGCCAAATGTTTAAGGAAACTAAACTTGAGTCTGTGATAACTTTATCACAACAATTTAATTTTGGAGGAGATAAACTCGTGGAAGCTTTACACTGTTAGCCAGAGCACACCACTCCTATTACTTATACATACAGTACACTGTTAGCCGGAGCACACCACTCCTATTACTTATACAGTATAAATAATATCTCAAATGGGATGATTTTGTGATTTTTTAAGCTTAATGCTTTACATAGCTGTGCACTGCATTTCATGACCTTCAGTGACACTGATTAATGTTAAAGTATCATTTATTTATATATATATATATATATTTATATATATATTAGGGGTATGTTATATTATATTAGAACTAATCTCGATTAATGCTTTAAAGGACAAAATATCACTTCGGTACAGTATTTTATTCTGGCTAACATCAAACGATTTTATTCAGCTGAGGGTAACCCCTGCCAGTTAAAGAGTCCATTTGAAATAGCTATAAGTATGGAGGAATATACTAAAGTAGAACTGAAGTATTTTTTAATATTCATAACCTTTGCCTTCCTAGAATCAGTGGATGAATATTTTTTTTCCATGTAACTTACTAGACTTGTACTGTATTATATATTTTCATGTTCGCATTTTTTTTAATATGGTTTGACACATGAACATTTTCTCCATTATGTTTATATGTATATACGTACAGTACACATGTAAAATCAGTTACAGTAGGAATACAGTAGTAGTGATTTATTTATGTATACATGATGATCGAGAACTTCTAATGCACGTCTGGTATTGTATTATAAAGTTAAACAGTGTCCATTTTATGGCATGCAGGGATCTTCTTAAGAGAAGAAATCATTATGCCTCAGTATCCACTTCCTGAATGTCCAGTACTGTATAGGTACTTGTGGTTCTGATGCATGATTGTTAATGATTTCTTTTGTTTGTTTGTTTTTTTGTCTTTCCTTT